ACCTATCGGTTGAAACGCGTTGCCCTTCTGTGTGGCTTTTATGCATTGAGTTTCATTGAAAGCCCTGTGTTCCATAAACAGTTGACAATTTCCTCTTAATTAAAACATTTCTTTTTACTTTTAACTTTTTTCCATTCATTTCATCTAAATGCTGATGATCTCCTGCAGCCTCTTTGCCTGAGCACTGATGCATCTAATCAAGTAGATGGTGGGGCGGAGGCAGGGGCGGACTGACCATTTGGAAACTCGGGTGCTGCCGAGAGCCCGGGGTCAATAGGAGGCCCCATGAGATGCCCCTGGTACCTTTTTCATAGGCATTTTTGAGTTTGGGCAAGGAAACAGGGGCCCCATGATCCCCTATTGCCTGGGGGCCCCATGAGTTGTCAGTCCGCCCCTGGGTGGAGGTAGAAGGTAAAAGACAGCACTTCAGTAGGATCCACAAACAAATATCCTTCATTTTGCAGGACAAATGCATGAAATCCACACAAAAGATGAACGTGTTTTGGCCAGTAGGCCTCAATAATGTGCAATGAGTAGGGATCAGCAGCCGAAACGCGTCGGACTTTTGTGTGCTTCTTCTTTGATTTTATGGAGCAATGCATAAAAGCCACACAAAAGGTCAACATTTTGGCCTTTTGTTTGGAGATCCTTTGTTTTTTAGGAACAACTCATACAATCCACAGAAAATTTTGACGCATTTTGGCCACTAGGCCTTAACCACCTCCCAACCGCACTTTAGCCGAAAGACGGCTTCAGCGTGGTTGTCCAATTCTGGGAGGGCATCCTCCCAGAATGCGCCCACCCCCTCTGCGCCCCTAGCGGCGTGCATACGGTGCTGTCTGTGATCCTTGTGTCCTATGGACACAGCTGATCACATTGTGAGGTAAATGGCCAATCACAGCGGCCTCTTACCACGTGATCAGCTGTATCCAATGACACAGCAGATCGCTGAGTAAATACAGTTGTCGGTTATCGGCAGCACTTTCCGCATTCTGTCACAGTGTGAGGAAAGTGCTGCCGATAACCGGCAAATGTCACGGAGGACATCTGCACTGATCATCAGGGCCCCAATAATCAGTGCTCAGCAGTACCACCCAGCAGTACCACCCACCAGTGCCCAGTAGTATCCAGCAGTGCCACCCATCAGTGCTGCCCAGCAGTGCCACCCAGCAGTTGCGCCCAGAGGGGGGGGGGGGGGGGGGGGGGGGGGGGGGGGGGGGGGGGGGGGGTAGTGCCCAGAAGTGCCACCATCAGTGCCCAGCAATGCCTTCCATCAGTGCCATCAGTCAGTGCTGTCAGTCAGTGCCGCCAGTCATCGCTACCCATCAATGTTGCCCATCAGTGCCGCCTATCAGTGCCCAGCAATGCTGCATATCAGCGCAGCATCATCAGTGATTCCTCATCAATGCCCACCAGTACTGCCTCATCAGTGCCACCTCACCAGGGCAGCCTATCAGTGCCCATCAGTACTGCCTATCCATGCCACCTCATCCGTGCCCACCAGTGTTGATTATCAGTGCCTATCATTGCTGCATATCAGTGCAGCATCATCAGTGCCTCCTCATCAATGCCCACCAGTGTTGCCTCATCAGTGCCACCTCACCAGGGCAGCCTGCCTATCAGTGCCCATCAGTACTGCCTATCCATGCCACCTCATCAGTGCCCATCAGTGTTGATTATCAGTGCCTATCATTGCTGCATATCAGTGCAGCATCATCAGTGCCTCCTCATCAATGCCCACCAGTGCCGCCTCATCAGTGCCACCTCACCAGTGCAGCCTATCAGTGCCCATTAGGACTGCCTATCCATGCCACCTCATCAGTGCCCATCAGTGTTGATTATCAGTGCCCATCATTGCTGCATATCAGCGCAGCATCATCAGTGCCTTTTCATCAATGCCCACCAGTGCCGCCTCATCACTGCCACCTCACCAGTGCAGCCTATCAGTGCCCATCAGTGCTGCCTATCAGTGAAGGAGAAAACGTACCTGTTTGCTAAATTTTATCACAGAAACAAAGAAAAAAATGTTGTTTTTCAATTTTTCTGTTTGTTTTTGTTTATAGTGCAAAAAATAAAACACTCAGCGGTGATTAAATACCACCAAAAGAAAGCTCTATTTGTAAGAAAAAAGTGATACAAATTTCATGTGAGAACAGTGTTGCATGACCGTGCAATTGTCATTCAAATTGTGACAGCGCTGAAGATTGGCCTGGGCACAGGGGACAGTGCCCAGTAGGCAAGTGGTTATTCATGTGCCATGGTTAAAATCTAGTGGCCGAAACGCGTTGTATTTTGTGTGGATTTTATGCATTGTTCCTTAATAATAAAGGATATTTGTTTGCGGATCCTACCGAGGTGCCGGATTTTCTACGATTCAGCTTGTGCCAGGCTCACAGCAGCCGACATCCAGAGCACCGGTGCATCTAATCAAGTGAATGGTGGAGAGGATTTAGAAGACTGGTGAGATCATCTCTCTGTCACTCTGCTCTCCATTCCTATCAGAGTGACATGAGTACTGCTCTAGTGGCCGAAACGCGTTGAATTTTGTGTGGATTTTATGCATTGTTCCTTAAAAAGTTAAAGGACATTTGTTTGTGGATCCTACCGAGGTGCCGGATTTTCTACATGATTCAGCTTCTGCCAGGCTCCGGTGCATCTAATCAAGTGAACGGTGGAGAGGAGGTAGAAGACTGATGAGATCATCTCTCTGTCACTCTGCTCTCCATTCCTATCAGAGTGACATGAGTACTGCTCTGGTGGCCGAAACGCGTTGAATTTTGTGTGGATTTTATGCATTGTTCCGTAATAACAAAGGATATTTGTTTGTGGATCCTACCGAGGTGCCGGATTTTATACGATTCAGCTTCTCCCAGGCTCACAGCAGCCGACATCCTGAGCACTGGTGCATCTAATCAAGTGAATGGTGGAGAGGAGGTAGAAGACTGATGAGATCATCTCTCTGTCACTCTGCTCTCCATTCCTATCAGAGTGACATGAGTACTGCTCTGGTGGCCGAAACGCGTTGAATTTTGTGTGGATTTTATGCATTGTTCCATAATAACAAAGGATATTTGTTTGTGGATCCTACCGAGGTGCCGGATTTTCTACGATTCAGCTTCTGCCAGGCTCACAGCAGCTGACATCCTGAGCACCGGTGCATCTAATCAAGTAAATGGTGGAGAGGAGGTAGAAGACTGATGAGATCATCTCTCTGTCACTCTGCTCTCCATTCCTATCAGAGTGACATGAGCAGGGATGGACTGACCAGTCGGGCACTAGGGCACTGCCTGAGTTCCCAGGGTCAGTAGGGGGCCCTATGAGATGCCCCTGGTACCTTTCATAGGCTTTTTTGGGTGTGGTTTGAGTTTGGGCAAGGACACAGGGGCCCCATGATCCCCTATTGTCCAGGGGCCCCATGAGTTGTCAGTCCGCCCCTTGACATGAGTACTGTTGTACAACACATTGGCTCTTTGTGCTGCTTCCGATTTACCAGCCTGAGCTCTGCTGCACAAGGGATTGCAAAAAGCTGAATTCCGGCTCTCACACATTTGTTCACATTCAAAAATTCATTCGATCTATTTCGAGATGTGTTAATAAATACAGAGCTGCAATATTTTGTGTCTTCCATGTCTGCCCGGAGTTCATATTGAGACAGTCTTCTGTGTTTTACAATATCAGGCAATTTTCTTCTTTTTTTTTTTTTTCATTTTCGGAATGTCGGCAGATTGAAAGCAGGATCAATGGCGTCTCGCAGATGGAAGTGCATTAGACCCGAGCGCCGCGCTAATGTCGGAACACAAATCCGTCTCCAGGAAGGTAAACACGGGAGTCATTTGCAGACAATGTTTTCAGCGAAAAGTACACGGAGAAATGACTTCTTAGCGAGGTTAGCAATATCTTCCCCGGGGCTGTTTGAGATTAGTTTGAGATTCATACGCGGCGGACGTTGTTTGGTTGCGATGGGTTAACCTTTGTACGTATCCACCGGTATTATGTCCGCTGGGCATAGGCTTTCTTTCAGCCACATTATCGCGGCTCTTTGAATACACCTGGGGCTCCCGTGACAGAACACCTCTCCACTCCGCGGACTTAGACCTTAGGAGAAGTTTTTTTTTCTTTTTGTAACAGAAATGGCTCTGGTTTTCTATTATGGAAATGTACAGAGCTCTTTCTTCTGAGTTTCACTATTACCGGGACGAAGAGGTGATGGGATTGTAGCCATTACCAACCGCGTCTTGTTTTTAGGTGATGGGTTTTTATTAGTGCCAAGAAAAAGTGTCATAGTATTGTTAAATATTGGTAGATCGAACGGCCTTTCTAACCCTGGAAATAATTATTAGGTCTTGGGGAGCACACAGTTCACTGGGGTCAGCTGGAAAAATGTCCCTTGTATTGGGGGTTAGTGGGAAGAAGGCTCCTACAATGAAGTGGGAACAATGACCTTTACATTGGAGCCCAACTGGAAGAATACTCCTTACATAGGTGGTCAGTAGGAAGCAGGGGCAGACTGACCATTTGGAAATTCGGGCACTGCCCGAGGGCCCGGGGTCAGTAGGGGGCCCCATGAGATGCCCCTGGTACCTTTTTCATAGGCTTTTTTGAGTTTGGGAAAGGACACAGGGGCCCCATGATCCCCTATTGCCCGGGGGCCCCATGAGTTGTCAGTCCGCCCCTGCCCTTGAAATAATTATTAGGTCTTGGGGAACACACAGTTCACTGGGGTCAGTTGGAAAAATGTCCCTTCTATTGGGGGGCTCCTACACTGATGGCCCGTGGGAACAATGACCTTTACATTGGAGCCCAACTAGAAGAATGCCCCTTACCTAGGTGGTCAGTGGGAAGAATGTCCATTACATTGGTGATCAGTGGAAAGAATGCCCCTTACAATGGTGGTCAGTGGCAAGGATGGCCTTTATATTGGTGGTCAGTGGGAATTATGCCCCTTACATTGATGATCAGTAGGAATAATGCTCCTTACATTGGTGGTCAGTGAGAAGAATGCCTCTTACATTGGTGGTCAGTGGGAAGAATGTCCTTTACAATGATGATCAGCGAGAAGAATGCTTCTTACACTGGTGGTCAGTGGGAAGAATGCCCCTTACATTGGGGGTCAGTGGGAAGAATGCCCCTTACATTGATGGTCACTGGGAAGAATGTCCCTTACATTAGTGACCAATTGGAAGAATGCTCCTTACATTGTTAACTAGTGAGAAGAATGCTCCTTACATTGGTGACCAGGGGCTCCCGTGACAGAACACCTCTCCACTCTGCGGACTTAGACCTTAGGAGAAGTTTTTTTTTCTTTTTGTAACAGAAATGGTTCTGGGTTTCTATTATGGAAATGTACAGAGCTCTTTCTTCTGAGTTTCACTATTACCAGGACGAAGAGGTGATGGGATTGTAGCCATTACCAACCGCGTCTTGTTTTTAGGTGATGGCTTTTTATTAGCGCCATGAAAAAGTGTCATAGAATTGTTAAATATTGGTAGATCGAACGGCCTTTCTCAGCCTTTCTAACCCTTGAACAGGGGTGGACTGACCATTTGGAAACTCAGGCACTGCTCGAGGGCCCGGGGTCAGTAGGGGGCCCCATGAGATGCCCCTGGTACCTTTTTAATAGGCTTTTTTGAGTTTGGGCAAGGACACAGGGGCCCCATGATCCCCTTTTGCCTGGGGGCCCCATGAATTGTCAGTCCACCCCTGCCCTTGAAATAATTATTAGGTCTTGGAGAACACACAGTTCAGGGGGGTCAATTGGAAAAATGTCCCTTCTATTGGGGGTCAGTGGGGAGAATGCCCATTACATCAGTGATCAGTGGGAAGAATGTCCCTTACATTGGGGGGTCAGTGGGAAGAATGCTCATTACATTGGTGATCAGTGGCAAGGATGCTCCTACTTTGGTGGCCAGTGGGAATAATACTCCTTACATTGGTGGTCAGTGGAAATAATGTTTTTTGTATTGGTGGCCAGTGAGAAGAATGCTTCCACACTAGTGGTCAGTGAGAAGAAGACTCCTACACTGGTGGCCAATGGGAATAATGCCCTTTACATTGATGGATTCCCCTTACATTGATAATCATTAGAAATAATGCCCTTTATAGTGCTGGCCAGTGGGAATAATGCTCCTTACATTGATGATCAGTGGGAATGTCCCTTACATTGGTGGCCAGTGGGAATAATGCTCCTTACATTGATGATCAGTGGGAAGAATGCTCCTTACATTGGTGGTCAGTGGGAAAAAGTCCCATTACATTTGTGGCCAGGGGAAAGAATGCACCTTACATCGGTGGTCAGTGTAAAGAATGCTCCTTACATTGTTGGAAAGTTGGAAGAATGTCCCTTATATTAGTGGTCAGTGGGAAGAATACGCCTTACATTGGTGACCAGTGAGAAGAATGCTCCCTACATTGGTGACCAAGGGGAAGAATGCCCCTTACATTGGTGATCAGTGAGAAGAATGCCCCTTACATTGGTAGTCAGTGGGAAGAATGTTCCTTACAATGGTGGTCAGTGGGAAGAATGTCCCTTACATTGGTGATCAGTGAGAAGAATGCCCCTTACATTGGTAGTCACTGGGAAGAATGTTCCTTACAATAGTGGTCAGTGGGAAGAATGCCCCTTACATTGGTGGTCAGTGGGAAGAATGCCCCTTACAATGGTGGTCAGTGGGAAGAATGTCCCTTACATTGGTGATCAGTAGGAAGAATGCTCCTTACATTGGTGGTCAGTGGGAAGAATGCCCCTTACATTGGTGGTCAGTGGGAAGAATGTCCCTTAGATTGGTGATCAGTGAGAAGAATGCTCCTTACATTGGTGGTCAGTGGGAATAATGCCCCTTCCATTGGTGGTCAGATTGAAGAATGCCCCTTACAATGGTGGTCAGTGGCAAGAATGCCCCTTCCATTGGTGGTCAGTGGGAAGAATGCCTCTTACATTGGTGGTCAGTGGGAAGAATATCCCTCACACAGGTGGTCAGGGGAGGAAGGGCTCTTACATTGGTGGTCGGTGGGAAGAATGTCCTTTACATTGTCAGCCAGTGGGAAGAATTCCCCTTACATTTGCGGCAAATATTAAAAAGCCTTGAGTCAATCTGGAGCAGTGGGCATTCCTAGGCAAGTAGCATTTGCATGCAGTCCACCCTATGTAATGTCCACATGTGATGCTGAGCCTCCAATTGACAATTGAAGGAACTGAAATCCAATTATTGAAAGGGATGGGCCAAGAACAGTCAGGCTAAGAAGGAATCCTCCAGCCAGGAAATGAAGTGGGCTCTATCTAACCTGCCGTGGCTTCTAATGCACGTTATGAGAAGCTCACCGTGTGCTGAGGAATAAAATGAAGCAATTTCGGTATAGCTGTGCAAGAGTAAAGATAAGGCCGGAGTTCAGCTTTAGAAAATTCATTTTAAAAAGTGGCGTTTTTGAACAATATAAAATCTAAATAGTTGTTCTAAACTTTCCATACAATTGTAGGAAGAACAGAGCCCAGATACGGTAGACAGGGAGTTCAACTCAGCATTGCCTTGGGTGTCAAGAAGACAACAAAGGAGGTAAAATCTATTTATTTCAGGTACATATATAGCACCATCAATTTACACATATATTGTACATTCACATCAGTCCCTGCCCTCAAGGGGTGTACAATCTAAGGTCCCGCCCTCAAGGGGGTGTACAATCTAAGGTCCCTAACCCTCAAGGGGCGTACAATCTAAGGTCCCTAACCCTCAAGGGGCATACAATCTAAGGTCCCTAACCCTCAAGGGGCGTACAATCTAAGGTCCCTAACTCACATTCATACATACACATACTAGGGCCAATTTAGAAAGGAGCCAATTCACCTACCAGCATGTCTTTGGAGTGTGGGAAGAAACTGGAGGAAACCCATGCAGGCACAAGGGAGAACATACAAACTCCAGGCAGGTGGTGCCACTTTCCAAATATATTGTACATTCACATAAGTCCCTGACCCTCAGGGGGTGTACAATCTAAGGTCTTTAACTCACATTCATACATGCACATATTAGGGCCAATTTAGAAAGGAGCCAATTCACCTGCCAGCATGTCTTTGGAGTGTGGGGAGAAACTGGAGAAACCCATGCAGGCACAGGGAGAACATGCAAATTCCAGGTAGGTGGTGCTGTGGTTGGGATTTGAACCAACAACCCTTGTACCGCTAGGTGGAAGTGCTAACCATTTAGCTACTATGACATGTTGTGCTAGTTGTTCTAAACTTTCCATACGATTGTATGAAGAACGGAGCCCAGATACGGTAGACAGGAGGTTCAACTCAGCATTGCCTTGGGTGTCAAGAGAACAAAGGAGGTAAAATCTCCCCAAAAAAACACAAAAACCACTAGAGAAGCCCTAATCAGGAACCTTCCTAAGTTCATCCATTTATACATTTGGCTGGAGTTGCCTTTTAATCTTTAAATATTCCATTTCTCTCTCTCTCGATAGGCTCTATGACATTTTTGTTTTGCCTGCAGCAATAAAAAAAATGCGAGTCTAAATCTTTCCCACGTTATCCAAATCTACAAAAAAAAAAAAAAAAAAAAAAAAAAAAAACTTTTTCCTTTCCATACACTTCAGCATCTTTATTTTCAACTTGGAAATGACTTTCCTTTTCCTACTTCAGACACAAATAAGAAGAAAAAAAAATAAAATACTAAAACGCATTTAATTAAATGCAATCCATTTGCGAAGCTGGAACATGATTGAAACCTTCATTTTGTTACATCAAATCTGGAATGATGTTCAGCAAACATAAATCGTGCACTCGGCGTCTGCGGCGATTATTAGTTACACGCACCACCCTGTGAATATCCAGCGGTGAAAATAATAGACAAATTTCATTCAGGTACAGTAATTAGTAGTTTACATGGAGAAAAAAATAAGCAAGTACAATTTATGTGCTCTCAATCACAAAGCGTCTTAGACATTTAAACAGGGTGTCAGTTTCTCAGGGTTATCGAGACAAATTATACTGAATTGTGTCATTTTAACGGCGAAGCGCCGTTCCCAAGTTCCGACAGGTATTTACTGCACTTTCTGGGTTGAAATATCCTCCCCCCCCCAAGTGTTCCCTCCAGCCTCAAATCTTCAGCATGTGGTCCATGACTATTTAAATAAGATATAATACGATTTATAAATACATTACGTTTGACTGACATAATTATTGTTATTTGCTGGTACACTACAAGAAATACGCAACCATCATTTTTTTTTTTTTTCCCCCGTGAAGACGGCGGTGGAATTCTATATTTAATTCGGAGTCTTTGGCAGCTTGTTAGTGGGGGATTCAAAACATCTGAAAGTCCCATTTACATAACAATGTAAAGTAATCAGGAAAACAATGTTTACAACAAAAAAAAAAGAGAAAAAAAAAAAACAGTGGAAAAACGCTCACCGTATATTTTCATTGTCGTGAAAAAGTCAAATCTGAAACGAAGAGGAGGGGTGAGTGCAAGTGTGCTGTCAATATGCAATGCCGCCATACTTCCCTTGGCACTGGGTCTATGGGTGGCATCTATGGGTGGCTCAGGGAATAGGTTCAGGTGCTCCCCACTTATCAGTCACTTTTTATGTCCACCTCCTACCCACCTCCGAGCACCGTCTCTTGGTTCAACCCCCTACCTACTTCCCAATTCCACCCCTTTTAGGGAATACAGAACCAATAATCATTTTTTGGTGATGAGTAAAATAGATCCCCTGCAACCAGCAACAATGCATCCCCCCAACAACAGTAGGTTCCCCCCAGCAACAATAGATCATCCCCAGCAATGACAGACCCCCAGCAACAATAGTTCACCCCCAGCAATGACAGACTCCCCAGCAACCTTAGATCACCGCTAGCAACAACGGACCCCCCAGCAACATTAGATCACCCCCAGCAACAACAGACTCCCCAGCAACATTAGATCACCCCCAACAACTACAGACCCCCAGTAACATTAGATCACCCCAGCAACAACAGACCCCCATAACAAAATTAGCTACAACTAACAATAGATCCCTGCCAGCAGCAATAGATCTCCCAACAGTCAGATTCAATATTGTGACAGACCCAACTTGGAAAGGGGCTTTTGGAGGAGAAAGCAGGCTAACCTCTTGCCTACTGACCATGGGCCCTGGCATCTGAGAGGGTTCTATCCTTTGGCAGGTGTGTGCCTGGTGGTACCTTTTACTTTGCATTCAAGTCCATGTGTCCCCAAAACACACCTCCCAAAGGATAGAGCCCCCTCAGATGCCAGGGCCCATGGTCAATAGGCAAGAGGCTAGCCTGCAATCCCTTCCAAAAGCCCCTGTCTCGGTTGGGTCTGTCACACACATGCCACTCAGCAGCCAGTAACAATAGACCCCTCCCTAAACAGCAGATTCCTCCCAGCAACAATTGACTACCCAGCAACAACAGATCCCCTCAGTGACAATAGATCCACCAGAGGTCACCATTAATAGACCCTCCAAATATGCCACTCAGCAGCCAGTAACAATAGACCCCTCCCTAAACAGCAGATTCCTCCCAGCAACAATTGACCCCCCAGCAACAACAGGTCCCCTCAGTGACAATAGATCCCCAAGAGGCCACCATTAATAGACCCTCCAGCACACACCAGCACCCCTTGCCATGGCATACTGTACATTCTGTGCTAGAGGTGCTGGAACTGATTTTCCCTGTGTTCTCACTGAAAAAAGCCCTAGTAGCATCAGTACTGAATAGGATGAATAAAATCTGGAATTTTCATTTAGCTGGGATTTTTTTTTACGAAAGTTGGAAAAAATTTGCCATTTTGATTAAATGCATTGGGGAAATCTAGGTGGGTTTTAGTGGTTTTTAAGAGTGTAAAGGGCTATAAGTGGCTGTTGAGCTTTACATAATCTTTTTTCACTATCTTGGACTCTTTCTTGAGCCAAACAATGATAGCCCCCAAGGTAGCCCTAATCCTTGTACTAATATTAAAGTGTATGCAGAGCCTAAAAACTTTTTTTTGGGTGGAGTAGGGAATGGATAAACCCCCATCAGGTAATGTTTTGCTATCCGTGCCCCGCTGGGCAGATTGCCCTTTACTTCCCATCTTGGAGGTGCAACAGAAAGTCAGAGGAAATCCCCAATGTGAGTGAAATTCTCATTTTAATTGGTATTGCCAGAATATTCCCCATTGGCAGACTTTTCCTTACCTCTTTTGCTATAAAATGTAAGATTTCTCCTTACTTTTTTTTCGCATTGATGTTGGTCACCAGGGCAAACGAGGGGCTGGGAATCCCCTCAGTGGGGACATTGACCACAAAATTAAGGAAACCATTTCCCACTTGACCCGACGCTAAAAAAAAAAATAAATTTGCCTTTACATACATTTTATCCAAAAAATTTCCCTAAGGGTGACCCTTGCCATAGTGTTGACCACAGCCTTGGTGCTAATCCTAGCACCAACGATAATCCTATCCATTTGTTCTTGCTCTGACCTTCGTAAGTCCTTTGACTTTCTTAACCCACAGTGGCCTCCTTGGCTTAGGAAAGGAGCTTCAAGCTCTTAACTCGAGTGTATAGATCCCCACATATGCTGCTTTTAATGTCCTGGTATTCAATCTCTTTATGTCTTTGCCATAATATATCATACCAAGTATCCCTCAAACTGCTCTACTGTCAATCCTACCTGGATCTGTCTGTTGCATCTAGAGGGATCTCCTTAGATTTTTTTTTTTTTGTAATAACTCGTCACATTATGAATATTGATAAATTGGTGGCAGAGTTACATGAGATAACTAAAGCTTGTTTCAATACTTGGTGTCCCTGGCTGCTGTAGATGGACTCCGACAA